GAAGCAGAATCCGTGGCAATGGAGGCAGCGGCATCATGTGTGGAACCAGGGACATCAGCATCCATGGCACCAGAGGCATTGGTATCCGTTGCATTGGAGGCAACAGAAACTGAGGTACTGGCGATAGAATAACTGGTGGATATGCCACCGACATTCTTAGCAGAGGTATCTGCTAAAGTGGTGGAGGCATCGACATCTGTGGCACTGGAGACACTAAGCGTGGAAGAGGAGGCATCTCTGGAGATATCGGCAGACTTAGCATTTCCGCCAGCGAAACCTGGTGGGAGAACACTAGTTTCACACCCGGGGAAGAGAGTGGCTGTGTGTACGGGCGGTGGGCCTGTGGGTGTTCGAGGCTCCTTTTGACTCCATGCAGAATCAGACGGGAAATGAGTTCTTTGCATGAATGGTGATGATACAGACATCCACACGTTACTCATATGTATTGTCCACGCCCACGCCGCCCTCTACAGCTCCCCGGGGACCCTAACATTCAACGCTAAGCCTTCACAGACCTCTCCTCTTCACGTACATGAAGTACCCAGAGAGTCACCCTTTCCCCCTTCTACTATTGCTAATATTTATACTATTTTATATATCCTTATACATCCTATACAACTATACTAGCCCACACGTACCTTCCGCCAGCACTCACAGGAATGCGGCAGTCTACATGCTTTCCGCCCTTTGACGTCTCTCTGTTTACACCATCACATCCTCTTACTCTTCCGCTCCTTTCTATTCCCTAGTACTATGCGGCACCTGTTCAACATTCCACAATATCGTGTATATAACCTGGGTCACTTGCGTGCGACAGTAGACAGCCAGCACCCACTCCTTCGGACTGAACCTCTGTCCAACCTCTGTCCAACATCTGTACCAGCCTCCCACAATAAACCCGTCTAGCAGAGATTTCGGCGTCTGTCTACCCAACTCAATATTCTGTCTCACGTCAGGCATAACTCTGCCCGCACCCTCAACGACTCGGCCACGTTACACAGTGAGTTCACCTATTATTTTTTGCAAAGACAGTAAGGTCACCGATTGTTTCTTGCAAAGACAGTAAGGTCACAGATTGTTTCTTACAAAGACAATGGAATCGCCGATTGTTTCTTACAAAGATATTAAGTTTTTTCTGCAATAAAGCTATCGATTGTTTCTTGCAGTGAGGGCATTGGTTGTTTATTAAAAAGACAATAAAGTCACTGATTGTTGTTTCTTGCAAAGACAGTGAGGTCACCGATTGTTCTCACTTGCAAAGACAGTGAGGTCACTGATTGTTGTTTCTTGCAGATAGTGAGGTCACTGATTGTTGTTTCTTGGAAAGAAAGTAAGGTCACTAGTTATTTTTATGGAGACACTGAGGTCACCGATTGTTGTTTTTTACAAAGATAGTGAGGTCACTGATTTTTTTTCTTGCATAGGCAGTGAGGTCACCGATTGTTCTCACTTGCAGAGACAGTGAGGTCACTGATTGTTGTTTCTTGCAAAGACGATGAGGTCACCGATTTATTTCTTGCAAAGACAGTGAAGTCACTGATTGTTTCTTTCAAAGACAGTGAGGTCACCGGTTGTTTCTTGTAAAACCAGTGTGGTCACTGATTGTTGTTTCTTGCAGACAGTGAGGTCAATTTTTTTTTTTTTTTTTTTTTTTTTTTTAAGACAATGAGGTCCCCGATTGTTGTTTTTTGCAAAGATAGTGAGGTCATTGGTTTTCTTTTTTGTTTGTTTGTTTTTTCTTGCAAAGACAGGTCACTGATTGTTCTCACTTACAAAGACAGTGAGGTCACCGATTGCTTTCACTTGCAAAGACAGTGAGGTCATCAGTGTTTCTTGCAAAGACAGTGAGGTCACCAATTGTTATTTCTTGCAAAGGCATTGAGGTCACCGATTGTTTCTTGCAAAGACAGTGTTGTTTCGTGTAAAGAGGACACCGATTGTCTCTTGCAAAGACAGTAAAGTCACTTTTTTCTTGCAAAGACACTGAGGTTACCGATTGTTTCTAGCAATAACAGTGAGGTCACTGATTGTTGTTTCTTGCAGACAGTGAGGTGACTGATTGTTGTTTCTTGCAAAGACAGTGATGTCACTGGTTGTTTTTTGGAAAGACAATGAATTTACTGATTGTTGTTTCTTGCAAAAACAGAGGTCACCGATATTTCCTTACTAGGATAGGTTACCGATAGTTTTTTCAAAGACCAAAGGTCACCGATCGTTTCTTGCAAAGACAACGAGATCACCGATTGTTTCTTGCAAAGATAATGAGGTCAACGATTGTTTCTCGCTGCGTCAATTGAAATTCGTGGTCTAGTGACCAGCGAAATAATACATGAAACTTAGTTGTCGCATTTTTTTTTTTTTTTTTCAGACTAAATCTGACGAGGCCTGTGTCCATTTAAACACGAATTTATAGAAAGAAAGGGAATAAACCTATTTTATTGTTTGATAGAACGTGTAAAAAGATTTAGATAAAAATTGTCAGTTGTTAAGTCCCGAAAGGAAATCTATAATTTTGATAAAGAACACAAGATAGGCAAACTAATATGGACAGCTTCAAAAGAATGAACAAGACGCAAAACTGCATCTGGCGCATTTCCTGCCCTTGACGCCACGGTGGCCTTGCACGAGAGAGAGATTGGCGTAACTTCAGAGCCCCGGCAGAGCAGAAAAGATAAATGGATAAGATAAAGCCAAACTCGTCACATTCATCAGAAAGCAGCAGAAAAAAAAAACGGAAGATTAAAAAATGGATTCGATTTCCGCATGAGTAAACAGATGTGATGAGAAACAACTTTCCCCTTGAGCTGGAAATGAAATTATGTTATTTCTCGATTGTGGGAAATTAACTGCACTTTTATTTTTACATGAATACATTTAGCTGTGTTGATAATTATTTTCATCTTTACTGTTATAAGGTTCCTTCTGGTTTGCCATCGTTTGTACCATTGTTATTGTGTTGCGTAATTATTTTTATTAATCATCATCCTAACCTCTTTCTTGCTCAGGCATTCCTTCCTCACTCCGACGCCCTTAGGGACGTTCGTCGCCTTCCTCGAATCGCTGCTTCTCAAAGAATCAAAACAGAGAGAACGATAAAAATTTAAAAAAAATAAATAAAAATAGAGATAAAAAGAAATTAACAAATGAGTAGAAAATAAGAAAAGGACTTCCAACAAGAACAGCTGCAAAGAAACTGTATGTAGATGTACACAATGTGGAATATGTGGGCAGTAGATTGACGATATGCCGCAGGAAAGCACTTACAGCTTTCATTAAACAACGTAAAGGGATCATAATCTAAAGCGCACCTGGAACATGGCGACTACTGCGATATATGTTTTTGTGGCGAATCAACTTAATAGTGTATATGAGATTATACAGATTGAGATCCTTTAACAATTACGAATTCCATTTCTAAAAAAAAACTATTCAAGTACTTAATTATTAAAGTTGAAAAAACAAGGGAAGGAAGTGAAGAACGTCACATCACTCAGAGGAAATGACGATTTTCTCTCACTCACTTTCTCAATCACTCTCGCTCTCGCTCTATGGCGCTCATACAAGCATACTGAAAAGTCATCTCTGTCAAGCTGCGTATTTTCCAAGTGGGCTCCTTGTTGTAATACTAAACCCAGCCAAGCTCCGCCTGTGTTCCAAACCTGAAACAACAATTGCGGTTAAGGTCGACCCAGGCTTACCCTGAGAGCGAATGTCGCTATAGCCTTATGCCATCCTCCTCTTTGGCTCCCCAGGGCAGGCGGGCGCGCCATCGCACTAAGCACTGTTTCCAATCTTGGTGTCATATGTTTGATTTAATTGTGTGTACTCTTTCACCAATAAAGAGCCAAGCCGTTTGAACGACTATCATTGCTGTTCATATCAACCTACAGCCTCTACAGCTCTCTCTCTCTCTCTCTCTCTCTCTCTCTCTCTCTCTCTCTCTCTCTCTCTCTCTCTCTCTCTCTCTCTCTCTCTCTCACTCTCTCACTCTCTCACTCTCTCCTCTCTCTCACTCTCTCCCCTCCACGGACGCACCAGTGTGAGCCCTCCGTGTTTATTTGACTTCTCTGGCATTACCCTACAAGCTAGATCATTAATCTACTACAAGAAGCCATATGAACATACAGAGAGTCCGGTGAGTGCCAGTGCACTTAGTAATTTAACAGGCATTAGTTTATACTAAAGCCGCAAACCTACTTTAATCGATGCACCCAAGCCAGTGAGGCTCGCACACCCGGCCTTGCGCCCGCTCGGTCCTCTCGCCCCACCTCATGCGCACCCACCACCAACCACCCCCCCACCCCCGGGCCTGGCGGCTCACAGCACGCCGCGCCGCCTCGCCCACCTCTCCGCGCTCCCGCGCCCGAAGCGATGGCGCCCGCCATCAAAACACCCCAAGATTAACCAGCGCTCTTCCCCCACAATCCTGACTCGTAACGAAGTGAACGTATTGCTCGACCAACAGAAGTCCTCGAAGATCATCGACAAATTGCGAAATAACACGTTCACCTCAGTTGAAAAACTGAAAGATACCATCACCAAACTGAGAGTCTTACCTTTTCGCAAAGCGAACTAGATGATGTCAAGAAGGAACTCAAAACCGCCAAAGAAAACAACGCAAGTGTCCGTCAAGATCTGTCCCTCATAACAAACGAACTTCACCAGCTTTCTAAAGAACTAAAGAAAACGAAGGAGCGCGCCGACTATCTTGACGACCAGAGTCGACGCAAAGTTTAGCGAGGTGCCTGAGGACGCCAACGAGACATGGGAACACACGCAGATCAAGATTTAGCGAATCCTGCGAGACAAATTCAATATCACAGCCGAGATTGAAAGGGCCCATCGAGTCGGGGAAAGGAAAAGAACAAGCCAAGGGACATCGTAGCCAAATTCCTTCGATTTCAACAACGTGAATACATTCACCAAAATCGCCGCAAACTAGCAAACACCTTCATCTACGAGGACCTGTCCCCGCTTCGGTAGACGCATGGAAGAAGCAGATGGACCAGCTTATGGCGGCAAGGGAGCAGGGCAAACTGGCATACTTTAGCTACCGCACATTGGTGATTAAAGAAAAAAGTATAAAACCGAAATCCACTCCAAACATGACCCAGCCTGCCCCTCCTCGGCCCGCCACACCCCCCGAGGCCCCACCCTCCACGTCCCTGAACGCATACCCAGTACTTACGCGACGCCCGTCTGCAGCGAATCACGTCTCCGTGACTCGCCCGCCACCAACCGCCTCCAGTGCCGCCCCCACCTCGGGTAGCGGGTCAACGGAAACCACCCGCGACCACGACACCGCCCACTCTGCAAATGACCTCTCTGAGACCACCTGGCCAACCCACACCGGAGCCGTGCCCAAGAGAAGCACTGACGGTACTCATGACGTCGAAGAAACACTGCCCTTGGAAGGAGCCACAGGACCCTTCGCTGCCACAGACGCATCGTGTCCTTCCCAGAGACGAGTGCAGCAGACAAGAAAGTCGACTGACTTCTACCAGGCACACTGACTCATCAGGATCAACATTTAAGTCTGTACCCACCTTCTCACCATGTCCCACTTACCTTTTGCTTGTATTTCTGACCATGAACTATTCAACCTCTTAGATTCTCATGAAATCACAAATCCTAATATCTTACCTCTTGAAATATTAGACAGAATGATCAGCATGACAGATACGAGACTGATAGTGACACTGATGACTTTCTCCTCAATGCACTTAAGCTTAAGAATCCAGTTTCTAAATATTTATTTCCGGAATATCCTTCCTGTAGCACTTCATCACGGAATGATTTCAGCGTCATCAGTTTCAATATCAGAAGTATCCCACGACAATTTGATACCTTTATTGATACCACCGTCTCCTCTCTTGGCTCCCTCTCTGATGTTATTTGCTTGTGTGAAACCAAATTGACCCACGACATTGAACACCTATATTGTCTCCCTTCATATACAAGCTTTTTTCAAATATGTCACGACTTAGCGGAGGCCTTGCAATATATATTCATAACAAGCATTCCGCTCACATTAGAAGTGATCTTAATGATATGTCACCAGAATTAGAGTCACTTTTTGTAGAGCTAAACTGTTCACCAAGAAATGTAATTGTTGGATCTCTATATCGCAGACCGAAATCTAATTTCAGGATCTTTCTAACGAAGCTAAGAGAAATTTTGTCTAAAGTTAATGCAGAAAGAAAGCTCATATATATTACAGGCGATCTCAACGTGGATCTTCTGAGATTAGACTCCGGTTCAAATGAACTGTGTTCCGCATTTAATGAAAGCATGTTCTATAACTGTATAACAAAACCTACTAGAGTAAGCAATACTAGTGCAACCCTTCTCGACCACATTTGGACTAACAATCTGAGTAACTTGTTAGAAAGCAATATTATATACGCCCGAACGTCTGATCACTTCACGGTATATTGTACATTCAGGCAAGGCAGCAACCAACCGAATATTAAAAAAACTCAGATACTGTACAGAGATCTTTCAGAAAATAACATAGCTCTGTTTAACAATCACTTAGCTGATATATCATGGGAACATGTATTCTCATCTCAAGACCCAAACGCTGCCACAGATTTGTTTCTTAATACTTTAACATCTTCATTTAACACTTATTTCCCGGTGAAAACTAAACTAGTCAAAGAAAAATCTCTGGCCAAACCCTATATAACTTCTGACATTAAAGCAATGATCAGAGAAAAAAACAGACTGCAAAGAAAGTACGCTAAGCATCCAGTCACATTTGCTGAAAGCTTTAAAAAACTACGGAATAAGCTCACCCTTACCATACGGAAAGCTAAAGCCGAATATTACAAAAATAAATTTGAACAATCTTCCGGGGACTCAAAAAAGACCTGGAATATTATAAACAATATTTTAAGCAGATCTAAAAACAGCAGGCCTACCTCAATGATGATCAACGGGCACGAGTCCTCTGACTCAACCGAAATAGCCAATAGCTTCAACTCTTACTTCGCTAATATTGCGAAAACTCTTGCTGAATCTATCAGTGAGACACAGACCAACTTTAATGTGTACCTAGCCAACCCGGTACAACAGGCACTTGCCTTCACTGAGACCTCCCCTGATGAGGTATTAAAATTAGTTAAAGAACTAAAACATACAGCTGCAGGCTGTGACAACATTCCCGCAATCGTCATCAAAGTCATCATTCCTCACATTTTACATATATTAGTTCATCTATTTAATATGTCTCTAAAATATGGCATTTTCCCCAGTGCTTTTAAAACGGCAAAAGTAATTACAGGCCTATATCTCTCCTGACAATATTTAGCAAACTTTTAGAAAAGATAGTTTATAATAGATTAGAAAGTCACTGCATAAACAACAATATTCTCTCTCCCTCACAGTTCGGTTTCCAAAAAGGAAAATCGACCGAATCTGCCTTAGTGTCATTCACTGAGAGCATATACAAGTCATTTGATAAAAAAAGGTTCTCAGTTGCTATATTTCTGGATCTCAGTAAAGCATTTGATACAGTCAACCATGACATCCTTCTGCTTAAATTAAACCACTCTCTCTGCAACACCAATTGTGTTATGTTATGAGGTGTTTCGTAACGGGAGGAGGAGGAAAAGAGAGAGATTGGTTTAAATTTAGCAAAGAAGATGTCATGGTGACTGGTATCAATGCTTTTACTGAGATGCCAGAATATAGCAACTGAGAACCTTTTTTATCAAATGACTTGTATATGCTCTCAGTGAATGACACTAAGGCTGATTCGGTCGATTTTCCTTTTTGGAAACCGAACTGTGAGGGAGAGAGAATATTGTTGTTTATGCAGTGACTTTCTAATCTATTATAAACTATCTTTTCTAAAAGTTTGCTAAATATTGTCAGGAGAGATATAGGCCTGTAATTACTTTTGCCGTTTTAAAAGCACTGGGGAAAATGCCAGATTTTAGACATTAAATAGATGAACTAATATATGTAAAATGTGAGGAATGATGACTTTGATGACGATTGCGGGAATGTTGTCACAGCCTGCAGCTGTATGTTTTAGTTCTTTAACTAATTTTAATACCTCATCAGGGGAGGTTTCAGTGAAGGCAAGTGCCTGTTGTACCGGGTTGGTTAGGTACACATTAAAGTTGGACTGTGTCTCAGTGATAGATTCAGCAAGAGTTTTCGCAATATTAGCGAAGTAAGAGTTGAAGCTATTGGCTATTTCGGTTGAGTCAGAGGACTCGTGCCCGTTGATCATCATTGAGGTAGGCCTGCTGTTTTTAGATCTGCTTAAAATATTGTTTATAATATTCCAGGTCTTTTTTTTGAGTCCCCGGAAGATTGTTCAAATCCATTTTTGTAATATTCGGCTTTAGCTTTCCGTATGGTAAGGGTGAGCTTATTCCGTAGTTTTTTAAAGCTTGCAGCAAATGTGACTGGATGCTTAGCGTACTTTCTTTGCAGTCTGTTTTTTTCTCTGATCATTGCTTTAATGTCAGAAGTTATATAGGGTTTGGCCAGAGATTTTTCTTTGACTAGTTTAGTTTTCACCGGGAAATAAGTGTTAAATGAAGATGTTAAAGTATTAAGAAACAAATCTGTGGCAGCATTTGGGTCTTGAGATGAGAATACGTTCCCATGATATATCAGCTAAGTGATTGTTAAACAGAGCTATGTTATTTTCAGAAAGATCTACTGTACAGTATCTGAGTTTTTTTAATATTCAGTTGGTTGCTGCCTTGCCTGAATGTACAATATACTGAGAAGTGATCAGACGTTCGGGCGTATATAATATTGCTTTCTGACAAGTTACTCAGATTGTTAGTCCAAATGTGGTCGAGAAGGGTTGCACTAGTGTTGCTTACTCTAGTAGGTTTTGTTATACAGTTATAGAACATGCTTTCATTAAATGCGGAACACAGTTCATTTGAACCGGAGTCTAATCTCAGAAGATCCACGTTGAGATCGCCTGTAATGTATATGAGCTTTCTTTCTGCATTAACTTTACACAAAATTTCTCTTAGCTTCGTTAGAAAGATCCTGAAATTAGATTTCGGTCTGCGATATAGAGATCCAACAATTACATTTCTTGGTGAACAGTTTAGCTCTACAAAAAGTGACTCTAATTCCGGTGACATTTCATTAAGATCACTTCTAATGTGAGCGGAATGCTTGTTATGAATATATATTGCAAGGCCTCCGCTAAGTCGTGACATATTTCAAAAAAAGCTTGTATATGAAGGGAGACAATATAGGTGTTCAATGTCGTGGGTCAATTTGGTTTCACACAAACAAATAACATCAGAGAGGGAGCCAAGTGAGGAGACGGTGGTATCAATAAATGTATCAAATTGTCGTGGGATACTTCTGATATTGAAACTGATGACGCTGAAATCATTCCGTGATGAAGTGCTATAGGAAGGATATTCCGGAAATAAATATTTAGAATCTAGATTCTTAAGCTTAAGTGCATTGAGGAGAAAGTCATCAGTGTCACTATCAGTCTCGTATCTGTCATGCTGATCATTCTGTCTAATATTTCAAGAGGTAAGATATTAGGATTTGTGATTTTATGAGAATCTAAGAGGTTGAATAGTTCATGGTCAGAAATACAAGCAATAGGTAAGTGGGACATGGTGAGAAGGTGGGTACAGACTTAAATGTAGATCCTGATGAGTCAGTGTGCCTGGTAGAAGTCAGTCGACTTTTTGTCGCTGCACTCGTCTCTGGGAAGGACACGATGCGTCTGTGGAAGCGAAGGGTCCTGTGGCTCCTTCCAAGGGCAGTGTTTCTTCGACGTCATGAGTACCGTCAGTGCTTCTCTTGGGCACGGCTCCGGTGTGGGTTGGCCAGGTGGTCTCAGAGAGGTCATTTGCAGAGTGGGCGGTGTCGTGGTCGCGGGTGGTTTCCGTTGACCCGCTACCCGAGGTGGGGGCGGCACTGGAGGCGGTTGGTGGCGGGCGAGTCACGGAGACGTGATTCGCTGCAGACGGGCGTCGCGTAAGTACTGGGTATTCGTTCAGGGACGTGGAGGGTGGGGCCTCGGGGGTGTGGCGGCCGAGGAGGGGGCAGGCTGGGTCATGTTTGGAGTGGATTTCGGTTTTATGCTTTTTTCTTTAATCACCAATGTGCGGTAGCTAAAGTATGCCAGTTTGCCCTGCTCCCTTGCCGCCATAAGCTGGTCCATCTGCTTCTTCCTTGCGTCTACCGAAGCGGGGCACAGGTCCTCGTAGATGAAGGTGTTTGCTAGTTTGCGGCGATTTTGGTGAATGTATTCACGTTGTTGAAATCGAAGGAATTTGGCTACGATGTCCCTTGGCTTGTTCTTTTCCTTTTTCCCCGACTCGATGGGCCCTTTCAATCTCGGCTGTGATATTGAATTTGTCTCGCAGGATTCGCTGAATCTTGATCTGCGTGTGTTCCCATGTCTCGTTGGCGTCCTCAGGCACCTCGCTAAACTTTTGCGTCGACTCTGGTCGTCAAGATAGTCGGCGCGCTCCTTCGTTTTCTTTAGTTCTTTAGAAAGCTGGTGAAATTCGTTTGTTATGAGGGACAGATCTTGACGGACACTTGCGTTATTTTCTTTGGCGGTTTTGATTTCCTTCTTGACATCATCTAGTTCGCTTTGCGAAAAGGTAAGACTCTCAGTTCGGTGATGGTATCTTTCAGTTTTTCAACTGAGGTGAACGTGTTATTTCGCAATTTGTCGATGATCTTCGAGGACTTCTGTTGGTCGAGCAATACGTTCACTTCGTTACGAGTCAGGATTGTGGGGGAAGAGCGCTGGTTAATCTTGGGGTGGTTTTGATGGGCGGGCGCCATCGCTTCGGGCGCGGGAGCGCGGAGAGGTGGGCGAGGCGGCGCGGCGTGCTGTGAGCCGCCAGGTGAGGAGGTCCGGGGTTGGGGGTGGGGGTGGCGGGCAACGGTAGCCGTGACTCGGGCACTAGGCTTCACGTCACGTGACCGACTCCTTACTGCGCATGCGTAGAATTCGAAAAAAAATGTGCAGAGGTCTGTGGCACCTGCTTGCCTTTTTCACTTGTTTTTATTACTAAGTGCACTGGCACTCACCGGACTCTCTGTATGTTCATATGGCTTCTTGTAGTAGATTAATGATCTAGCTTGTAGGGTAATGCCAGAGAAGTCAAATAAACACGGAGGGCCTCACACTGGTGCGTCCGTGGAGGGGAGAGAGAGTGAGAGAGTGAGAGAGTGAGAGAGTGAGAGAGAGAGAGAGAGAGAGAGAGAGAGAGAGAGAGAGAGAGAGAGAGAGAGAGAGAGAGGAGAGAGAGAGAGAGAGAGAGAGAGACTGTAGAGGCTGTAGGTTGATGAACAGCAATGATAGTCGTTCAAACGGCTTGGCTCTTTATTGGTGAAAGAGTACACACAATTAAATCAAACATATGACACCCAAGATTGGAAACAGTGCTTAGTGCGATGGCGCGCCCGCCTGCCCTGGGGGAGCCAAAGAGGAGGATGGCATAAGGCTATAGCGACATTCGCTCTCAGGGTAAGCCTGGGTCGACCTTAACCGCAATTGTTGTTTCAGGTTTGGAACACAGGCGGAGCTTGGCTGGGTTTAGTATTACAACAAGGAGCCCACTTGGAAAATACGCAGCTTGACAGAGATGACTTTTCAGTATGCTTGTATGAGCGCCATAGAGCGAGAGAGCGAGAGTGATTGAGAAAGTGAGTGAGAGAAAATCGTCATTTCCTCTGAGTGATGTGACGTTCTTCACTTCCTTCCCTTGTTTTTTCAACTTTAATAATTAAGTACTTGAATAGTTTTTTTTTAGAAATGGAATTCGTAATTGTTAAAGGATCTCAATCTGTATAATCTCATATACACTATTAAGTTGATTCGCCACAAAAACATATATCGCAGTAGTCGCCATGTTCCAGGTGCGCTTTAGATTATGATCCCTTTACGTTGTTTAATGAAAGCTGTAAGTGCTTTCCTGCGGCATATCGTCAATCTACTGCCACATATTCCACATTGTGTACATCTACATACAGTTTCTTTGCAGCTGTTCTTGTTGGAAGTCCTTTTCTTATTTTCTACTCATTTGTTAATTTCTTTTTATCTCTATTTTTATTTTTTATTTTTAAATTTTTATCGTTCTCTCTGTTTTGATTCTTTGAGAAGCAGCGATTCGAGGAAGGCGACGAACGTCCCTAAGGGCGTCGGAGTGAGGAAGGAATGCCTGAGCAAGAAAGAGGTTAGGATGATGATTAATAAAAATAATTACGCAACACAATAACAATGGTACAAACGATGGCAAACCAGAAGGAACCTATAACAGTAAAGATGAAAATAA